GATAATAAGTATTATTTATTCATATATATATATATATATATATATATATATATATTAAATATTGAATCAAATAAGAAACAAAAAGATGAGAAAAAATTAAACGGCCTTTTATATTATTTATTTAAATGATTTTTTAAAAATAATATTAATAAATGATTTTAGTTTTAATTCTTAATTTATTAAAACTTTAGAATGAATACCGCCCAGTAATCAGTAAAATATTTGATTATTATATTTTTCAATTAATAATATTAAATTTAATTTAAATTTTTATTATAATAATGGCGATTAAAGCATTTTTTTTAGAAAATGTTAGATATTTATAAAGAAATTAAGCCATCGTTTATTTAAATTAGATTTCGAATAATAAATTCTTAAGTTTCAGATTAGATATTAATAATATTTGTCCGAGTAATAATCTGAAATTATTATGATTATATTTATCTAATAATGAAATTAAGATAGTTTGCTTATTGAATACTTACTGAATAAGTTTTTTAGAAAATGAATAAATTAGGGATTAATTTTTAAATTAATTTATAAAAATAATAAAAAAATTATATATGGTTTATAAATATTGAACATAAAAAATTATTTTGATTATATTATATTTATATGTTGTTTATGTTGTTATTTTATGAATTTTTATTAAACTAAAAAAAAAAATGCATCGTCCGGGAATTGAACCCGAGCCGATTGCTTGGAAGGCAATAATCCTGCCACTAGACCAACGATGCTTTAATTAATAATATTATTGTTGTAAAAGTATAAAGAAATAATATCAAGAAAATAATAGCATATTTATTTTATTACATTGTTCTTTTTATTTAGATATAAATTTTTTATTATTATTAATTTTTTTTTCTATATGATTTTTAGTAATTTTTATGGTATTATAGAATATTGTTTAATTAAAAAAATATTTTTTATCTGTCAATTTATTTATATGTATGTTTTTCTAATCTAATTAATATGAATAGTTTTCTAATCAAATTTATGTTTATGTTGTTTTAATTAAATTATAAAGCCAATAATTTATATAAAAAAAAAGAATATGAATTATTATTTAATATAAAAAAATAAAAATACTATTAAATTTTTATATATTATTAAGTATAATGTTTTTAAAAAATGATTTTTCATGAAATTTAAAATAATCATATATATATATATATATATATATATATATATATATATATATTTAATAAAATTGATATATTTATAATAAATCTTACTTTTTTATTATATGTTATATTATTAAATATAAGTATAATATTATAATATTTTTTATTTTAATTTTAATATATTAGTAATTATATATGATAAATACAAATAAATATTTTATTCTGATTTATTTTAATAGTTATATATGATTAAAAAATTCTTTTTATATTAAATAAATACATAGTTTTTATTTTTTTTACTTTTAAAAGATTAAACTTTAATAATTTTTTTGTTTTTCAATTAAAATTAAATAAAAATTTATATATTAAAATATTTAATGTAGGACTAAAGAAAATTAGTCCTTAAAAAAAAACAAAACAAAAAAAGCTATATATATAAAAGTTTATATTTAAGTTTTTTTTATTTATTTAATAATATTAAAATAAAACAAAAAATAAAAAAAGTAGATTAAAAACCTATAAAAAAAAGATAAAAATATTATAAAGAATATTAAATAAAATCTTAATAAAAATCATCTCTTTTTAAATTCTAATTAATACATAGCTTATTTAGAAACAAGTGGAAATATAATATCTTTAATAAAATCTGGCAAAAGAGAAGAGATATAAGAGAAAATTTCATGAATAAGAGTTCCGTTTGAATCAGAAGTTTTACCTAAAACATTAATGCAACTTTTTATGAAAAATTATGGTGTAATTGTAAAAGGAAGACTTTTGTAATTTACCATTGCAGTTTTTATATAAAAAGGTCTAAAGGTAGTAAATTATACATGATTATTATGTTTAGAATGTTTTAAACTTGTAAAAAGATATTGTATAAATGCTTTGGAAGAAGAATATATATTATAATAAGGATTTGGATATTCCTAAGCGTATGAACTCATAGATATTATTTAGGCTTTTCTGTTATTTTTTTATGCATCTTAATTCATTTTCATATATAAATGTCTTGTTAAAAGTGCAGGTGTTATCATATTTACCTTTTTTTTTTAATTATATCATATTTTTTTTATTTTATTACTGTTATATGGCTTCTTATTAAATTTTCAGGAATATCTGTATATTCTTATATATCTATTACTCCTACATTGTTTACAATTATAGAAATCTCAAAGTCTGATAATTATTTTAGAAGATTTTCGAAAAAATTGTCTTCGTTTGATTTAGTAAAGTCTTGTGTAATTATTTTAAATTTAACTAAAGGATTTAGGCATTTACTTACGCTTTCTAATTTATCATAAGAGCGAGAAATTAAGATTATGTTAAAACCTTTTTAACTTAATTATATAGCCCATTCTTTTCCTATTCCTTCGCTTGAACCTGTTATAAGTGCCCAAGCATCCTTTTTTTCATTTCCGTATAGTTTTTAAATATCAGTTGGGGTTGTAAAAAAAGGTAATAAGCGAAAATAAAGTTTTCGAAATTGATTTAAAACTAAAGCAAATCCTAAAAAGGATAAGATATATTGTATCATTAATTTAAAAATCTATTATTTATATATTTTATTTTAATTATAATTAAATTATTATTTTAATATATAATATATAAATATATAAATATATAAATATTTATATTTTTTTCTAAATTATTTAAAATTATAAATATAATATCTTTTTTATAAATAAAATATTATTTTTTATCATTTTTAATTTTTAGAAATATATTAAATATAAATATTATATATATTTTTTTATTAAATTAGAAATATTTCATGCATTAATGTTTTTATTTATTTTAACATAATTAATAATAATAATATGTTATTTTTTTTATTTATTTTATTTTATTTCTAATGTATGATATTTTAATATAATTACAAAAATAAAATTTTAATTCTAACTCTCAAGAATTAATTTGAAAATATTATTTTTATAATAATGTTTTTTTAAATAAATAATCTCTATTCTTCAATTAGTCTTTTATATTTTAGCAAATAATTTATTTTTCTTAAAATTAAATTCAAATAGTTAATAATTTAAATAATTTTATTAAAAAGAAAAAAATCATCTTTTTATTTTAAATAAAAAGCTTTAAAACTATAAGATTCAACTTTTGTAGTTTAACAAAAAATGAATTTTTATATATAATATAATTATAAACTATAAAAAAAATCTTTTTAAGTTATATTTTGAATAATATTAACTAAAATAATGACATCATTTAAATTTTATAGATGTAAATTATGAATTAAAAATGAAGTAAATTATTGTTTAATCTGTAGTGATACTAAATTTAAAGAAATAATGAAAAATATATGATTTTTATATTTTTTGATAGAATTTATTTATTTAATAAGTTTATTATTTGCAATAGATGAAAGAAATATTTAATTTACAAGATTTGAAAAAATTTTAATTAAAATGATAAGTAAAAAAACACTTCTAAAAATACATAAAAAAATTAGTTAATAATAGTCATAATATAAATCAAAAAAATAATTATAAAAACGAATATAAATATTTATTATATTTTAGATATATATTTTATTAACTAAATAGAAATTAATAATATAAAAATACGAACAATTAATTTAAATAATAATAAAAAGAGGAAATAATAATAAAAAGAGGAAATAATCACCAAAAAAAGATAAAAAAAATTAACAAATAAAAAGAATAATAGTACAAAAAAATAAAATAATTCAAGAATTACTCGCTAATTTAATTAGGCAATTGTTGAGTCTTTATAATACAGATTATAAATAAGATAATAAAAAAATATTAATAGATTTAAGGGTTAGTTTAAGAAAACGGATAAAATTTTAATTAATATTTTATTTTTATTGAAAAAAATATATTTGTTTTTAATTTTTTTTTTTTTTTTTCCCTTATATAATAAAATAAATTTATATTAAATATAAAATTAATTTAGTTTATTTTTATATTTGTATAATAAATGAGTGATATAAATAATATTTATAAATAAATTTCTTAAAAAAATGATTTCAATCAAATCAATTTATTACTTAAAAATTGTTTAGTAAAAAATATATTAATGCTTTATATAATCTATATTTATAAAAATAGTCTGATGATGAGAATATAAAAGAAGAGTCAATTAAAAATTTAAGAAAAGTATTTAAGCTTTTAATTTTTGGAAAGAAAATAATATAATTTAAAGATTTAAAAACAATTGAAGTTCATATAATAAATGAATAATTTAAAATTTATTAAGAATTTCTTTAAAAAAATTCTTGGCATTTACAGAAATTTTAAAATTAAATATATTTTCAACAACCGAATAAGAAAAAATAAAAGTATTTAAATTAAGAAAAACTAAAATTTATTAAATATATATATACATATTTTATAAAATTAAAGGAAGTTAGTTTTAGAGTTTATATAGAATTAATAAGATATCACTTTGAGAGCTTATATAATTATTAAAAATTAAACTTTTTTGAACAAAATATGTTTTTTACTTTTATTATTAAAATCTTAGATGAATTTGATAAATTAGATGATATTTTACATGCTTTAATTGAATATATAGAAAATTTTCCGGATTTTTCAATTAGTCTTTTGAAAGTGTTAACTCGTATTTGTTTAGAAAAGGGAGATTAGAAAAACTTAGAAAATATAGCCAACTTTATTTAATATTTACCTGCTACAGAAGGGCTATAGTTTACTTAAATTTTTTTATAAATACATGATACAGAAAGTAAACTTTTACTTAAAAAAAGAAATATAAATGAAAAAAATGAGTAAGAAATAGACAAGTAATAATATATAATAGAATGGAAATAAAACTTTAGTGAACTTACATTTACACTTATAATGAAAATGAAAAAATATCCAAAAGCTTTACTTAATATTATTTAAAATTTAAATAAATTCTATTTCTTAAAAATGGAAAATCCTTTACTTTTAGCTAACTTTTGACTGTAATAATAAACATAAATAATAATATATATATATATATTATATATAACTAATATTAATATATTTGTATATTTACTTAATAAAGGATATATATGATAATAGTTAAGATTTTGATACTTTAATTATAGTCTTAACCTAATTATTTGTTTTGATTGGAAAACATCATTTAGAATATCCTAATTACTATAATAAGTTATATTCCTTATTGAACTTATAAATAGGATAATTCACTATATTTTTATGTTAAGATACTCCTAAATTTCTTAAATTATTGGAAGTGTCTTTGAAAACATCTAAGCTTTCTAACAAAATTCTATCTTGTTTTTTACGGAAAATCTTACATTTAAGTTTAACACATCCTCCTAATATAATATTATGGTCTATTTCTTTAACTATAAACATTCTTAAAAAGTAAAAAATATCTTTATTATTTTATTTCTGAATTTAAAAAAAAAAAAAAAACACTAGAAATCCTAATTTAGTAACTATGATTGACACAAGTCAATTAAAAGAAAAAATAAAAGATGAATTTTAATCAAAAGAATAGAATTTGGACCTCTCTAAAGGAAAAAATACTTATTTATGGGAATTAAAAAGTTTAAAAGATCATTATTTAAATGAAGTAGAAAAAATGATAAAAGTAATAGGTTCTAAATTAGACGTTGCCTAATTTTTGGATTTAGATAATTTTACTGATTTAGAATATGATCATTTTATTAAATTATATATTTAATCTGCAAAATAGAAAAAAATATAATATCCTATATAAATTGAAATCGAAAATACTGAAAAAATAAGTTTATTTAATTAAAATATAATGTGATTTGATTTTATATATATAAAGAAAAAAAGTTATATATTTGTTTATATAATATATTTTTTTTTTTCTAATTTTTTTTTTTTTTTCTATTTTATAAGATAATTAATGTAACCAATTTTCAAATGCTTCATAACCTACTTTTTCTATATTTCCTCTACCGTTTTTGTTTAAAATAGAACCATCTGCAGGATTTATAATAAGTAAGCAAGGTATTCCTTAGATATGCTCTTTATATTCTAAATACATTTTTATTTTATTAATATCTTTAAATTCATATGCAAGCCAAGGCATATCTTAGAAATAAGATTAAAATATTGATTTTTTTTAATCAAATGCAAAATATATTATTTCAAATTGTCTTTCATTTTCATTTACTTAATTATAAAATTCGGTTAATTTTGGAGTAAAACGATTAAATGGATCACAATATTCTGCTCCAAATAATAAACCTACTAATTTTGCCTCTTTTAATGTTTAATTATCTCTAGGACCATCAGCTGTTATGAAATTCTAACCAAATTTATCCATTATTATTATTATTTTTATTGACAATTAAATTATTTTGTTTTTTTTTGTTTTTTGTTTTTTGTTTTTTTTTTTTCTAAATTAGAAAAATAAATAAAAAGAATAAAAAAATATATTATAAATAATTTTTTTTTTTTTTTTTATTTTTATATTTTATTTGAATATTTAATAAAATTTAAAGGCATCTTAATTTTAGATATATTTTTTTTTAATAAAACTTTATTTTTTTGTTTCATTTCTTTAATTATTAGTCCATTTTATCATGTTCCTCATAAATATTGTTAAATCTCCAATTATGATGTAAATGAGCAGGTGTATAATCTCCATAAACATGACTAGCTTAACTAATATGAGTTCTGGAATGTTTTCTATCAGGAATACAATATTTACCTTTTATTTTAAATATTCTTTTACTAAAAAAACAACAACAAAAAATAAAAATATTACCTACTTCAGACCTGTCTTATAAAAGATTATGTACACCATCATAAGCTGTTATAAATCTTTAATTTAAAATTAAATAAAAATAGCTTTTATTATATACTTCAAAAATCTATGAGCAACACTTTATTAAGAATCCTCAAATTCATAAATCCAATGATCTAAATTATTAATTTGTTTATTTTTTTTTTTTTAAAAAAAAAATACTTAAAGGATTTTCATCTCCTTATATATAGAATATATCTTTTCCAAAACCTTTAACTCTATTTATTTTTAATAAAATTAAATAAGAATTAACAATAATAATAGCTTTTTTTAAAAAAAACTATATTTTTACCTTGCACAAACTTTATACATAGGAAGTGTATTTGTTGCAAGATGGACCCATCTTGAATATTCGGGGAAGATAAAATTAACTCTTCCTGTAAACATACCATGCTTTTCTACCCAATGTCCTAAAGAATCAGCCTTAGATAAGAAAAATAATATTTATAGAGGTTTATATTTTAATAATAAGTTAGTTTACTTTATTTCTTTGTAAATTATGGTTAAGATATTATAATTCGAAACCAAATTAATTTTGTCCTTTAGCATTTTAAACTATATTTGATGAAAAAATACTTCTCCATTTAGGATCTTTTATTTTATCTTTTAAAAATAATAAAATATCTTTTTATTGCCAAGTATTAAAGTCAATTTAAGTTAATTCGTTAATATATCCTTTAAATTCTTTAAAAGACTCATGATATCTTTAATCCATAGGAGAACTATCAATACAAAAAACACCTTTTATATTTAATAAATTTAATTAATTCACTTTTTTATAAGATTAGTATTACCAGTTACTCTTTCGGAATGATAGCAACCTGTTGCAAGAGCAATTTTAGCTCCAATACCATGTCCTGCAAGTGTTGCAGTAGATATTTTTTATGAATACATAAATCTCATTACATCATCTGCTTATTCAGATAAATCAAAGGAAGGATGTCTATCTGAGTTTCCAAAATTTCTAGGATTTAATAGCCATACATTTCTGTAATCTAATATCTTTTGTTGTTGTTGTTGTTATTTTTGAGAAATAATAAAAAAATTATATTTTACTTAATGGTTAGGGTTAGTGAAAAAAGGAATCCAATTTTGAGTTAAATCACATGCTTCAGTAAAAAATATTAAATTTGGTAAGTCATTGTATTTTCCTTTTAAGAAAGTTCCTCTTAAATTTACATCTTTTGTATTATCGGTATATATTGCATTCTTTTTTTTTATTTTATTTATTTATAAGTAAATGTATTCATTTTTTTATTTTTTTAATATTTATATTATAATTTCAATCTAATTATTATTGTATTCTTATTGTTATTATATTATATATATTTTTTCTCTTAATTATTTGATTTTTATATTTATAATATATTCAATGATTTATTTATTACCTCCTCTTAAATGACTTATTATTCTTGAAAAGTTAAATATTGGCAATTTTTTAAATAAAGATATACTAACTTAATTATGTAATTTAATCATTTTTACTTGATATTTTCCTTTTTTTTATGGAATATTTTTTATTTTAAATAATATAAATATTTTTATTTCTTAATTTTTATTTTTTTCTTCAAAATATAAAATATATACATAATTAAAAATATCAATTAAAATTATTTTTTGAAATATTATTCATATATTATTTATTTATAATTTTTTTGTTTTGTATTAATACATAAAAATATAAATATTTATTACATAATAATAAAACAAAGATGAGTGTAGTGGAAATAAGGGTTTGTGGAAGATACAAACTTACAAAAAGAATCAATATAAGCATGTTTAGTTCTATTTATTTAGCGAAAAACGTCTAAACAAATAACGATGTAGTAGTAAAAATGGAAGAAATAAAATCTAAATATCCATAAGTAAATAAAAATTAAATAATATTTTTTTGTTTCCACCAAAAAAAAAAAAAAAAAAGCTATTATATGAGGGAAAAATAATATAAAATTTATAAGGAGGAATTGGAATTCCAAATATGCATTGGTGTGGCTAAGAAGGAGATTTCAATTTTTTAGTAATGGAATAATTAGGATAAAATTTAGAACAATTATTTAATTTATGTAATCGAAAATTTTCTCTAAAAACAGTTTTAATGCTCGCAGTTTAATTAATTTCTAATATAGAATATGTTCATTATAAAGCATATATACATAGAGATATTAAACCTGAAAACTTCATTTTTGGAGTTTCTAAAAAATTATCGACCTTATATACTATAGATTTTAGTCTTTCTAAAAGATATAAAGACTAAAGGACTCATGAACATATATAATTTAGAGAGAGAAAACCTTTAATAGGTTTATTTTATAATATTATATTAAAAAAGTATTTATTTTTTTAAACAAAGGAACTGCTAGATATGTTAGTATTAATGCCCATAGAGGATATGAATTATCAAGAAGAGATGATATAGAGAGTATTGGTTATATTTTAATCTATTTTTTAAAAGGAAGTCTACCTTGGTAAGGTATTTCTTTATAGAATAGAGAAGAAAAATACAATTAAATAAAAGAGTTAAAAATGAATATATCAGCTGAAAATTTATGTAAAGGAATTCCTATTGAATTTAGTACTTTTATAAAGCATTGTAGAAATTTAAAGTTTGAAGAAAAACCAGATTATTCTTTTTTAAAAAAAATATTTTATGAAAGAATGAATAAGGAAGGTATTTAATTTGATTATGTGTACGATTGGATATTAATTCCTCTTTAAAACAAAAATATAATAATTCCTAAAACACCTATAAATTTCGAAATTTAATAGAATGAAGAATATTTTGCTTAAGATACAGAAGAAAATTCGAATTCTTCAAAAGATTATGGAGAGGATAAAAATGACGAATAAGATGATAATTTTTATAATTAGTAATTACTTTTTAAATAATAATTAATAATGCAATAGTAATAAAAATAATAATAATAATAATAATAATTATAATAATAATAATATTAATAATAATTATAATAATAATAAAAATAAGATGATAATTCGTAATAAATTCAAAATGATAAAATTAATTAAAATTAAAATATAATGAATATTAAATAAAATAAAAAAGAATAAATAATAAATTATATATAAAATTAATAAATATAAAAACAAAATAAATAATGTGATGTTTTTTGAAATATTGTAAAATTAATTAGAATCAATTTTTTATAAAATAAACAAAATATATGTTTATTTTTTTTAATATTAATTTTTTATTTAAATTTAAAAATATAATTGTATTATTAATATAAAAAGATTTAAATTTTAAAAAAATATATATATATAACGTTATTTTAAATATACAGTAAAAAATTATTTAATACAAACATTATATATATATATATATATATATTTATTTATATATATAATAGGAAATATAGTTATTTATATACACTATTATATTTATATATATATACAATAGTATATTTATCCTATATATTTATTAATATAGTTATAATAAAAGCTTAATCAAATCAAGTTTTTTATTTTACCGAAAATTATTTAATTTTAATTATTTTTAATTAAAATTGGAAAATATCTTAAAATAATAATCATTATTATTATTAATAATTCTTGAATTACTTATCATTTATAATTTTTTTTTAAGTTTCCAAATCACAATTCACTTTTACTTTTTTTTTAAATCTGTTTCATCGGCAGATACTTTTCTAAAATTTTGATACTTAAGGTTTTATTCTTCATTATTTTTATCATGTAATTAAAAACTTCCAAGTCTTTTTCTTGAATTACATTATTTCGGTACATATATTTCAGGTATATAATTTGTACTGTTTTATATTTCAAGTTAATTATTAGCTTATTATAATGCGAAATTATATAGAGTTGCTTCTTATATAATAGGTCTAATATTATTTTCAAAATAATAACTATATTATAAATATTTTATTTAGTTTTACAAATAACGAGATATAAAGAAAGAGTTTTCCAGAGTAGTATTATTATAAATTTAGTTTACGTATTTATCTATGATTTAATCTACATGAACTTTTAATTTAATATAAGATAAGAAAAGTTTAAATATATATATATATATATATATATATATATATATATATATATATATATATACATATATATATATATATTTATAAATACTTTTCTATTCATCTTCAATTTTTTTTTTTTCTATATTATGACTAGAATAATTTTGATTATCTTTGTTTTCTAATTTCGATTCGATATTGTTCTATTAAAATTAATTTTAGGTTAATATATCTATTTTTTAGCATTATTTAATTTTTTGTTTGTATTTATTTTTATTTTAGATTTTATTCTAAATGATATTTATTTATTTATTTTTATTTTCAGCTTTTTATTTATTATTCAATATTTAGATTATATTGTCTTATGATTAAATTTTTTAGTCATTATTATAGAATTCTTTTTCAATTTTAATAAAAAATTTTTATGCATGGGATCTTATTTATGATCCTGTTCTAGTACCAATATGTTATTCAATTACTTTCCAGTTTTTTCCATACATATTTATACCTTCAATGAATTTTTTATGTTCATCTTGAGTCCATCTTCCAGTTTATTTCAAATTATTTTCAAAATTTTAATTACTATCATTATTATTGTCCTCGATTTAGTAAGAATTTTTACAAGAATTCTTTTTAGATTAATTAGAAGAAGAGCAATTTAAATTATTTTCGAATTATTTGTAGGCTATTAATATTTCGTCATTTATTAAATTGTAATTATTATTATTTGTAGAAGCTTACATTTTATTATTATTTTGTTTTTATAATTTTTATTATTATATTTTATAATAATGAAATCTATTAAATCTGATAAACAAATAAAAAAAATCATAAAACAAGAAACTATATATTATTTAAAAGTTAAGATTAAATAAATTTTAATATCAAAATTTGTAAAAATTGCATTAATTAATAAAAAAAATAAAAATATGTAGGTTTAAATAATAAAGATAATAAATAGTATATTTGTAAAGATGACAATTAAAATAGAACAATAAAATAAAATATATAATTTCAATAATTTATAATTAATAAAATTAATTATTGATATAGATTTTTATTATATCTTAATATATAATTTATTATATATTATTTTTTTGTTTTGTTTAAAAAAAAATAAAAAAATATTAAGGCTATATACATCTTTTTTCTTAAAAAGAATTTCTTATATATTATAATTTATGTAAAAGTATTAATTTTTAATGTAAATATTAAATTTTTAGTAATTTAAAAAAATATGCTAAAAGGGTATTTAAAAAGGTTTAATTTTATTCAATATTTAATAATTTTAAGAAAATAGAAAAATAAGTAAATAAAAAAATTACTGATAAAAGATTAATAATAAATTATAATAAAATTAATTAAAAAAATTATTTAAAAAGAATTATTTATAATAATATATTATTATCTTTTCCCATTTATTTAATATTAATTAAATTATTTTAATTGAATTAAGATATTTATTTATTAAATATTATATTTTATTAATAAAATACTTATTTTAGTTTTAAAATTTTTTCAATATTACTTTGAAATATAGTTTCTAGTAAACCATATCTTATATATTATTTATTCTAAGATAATTTTCTAATAAATCATATATTATAAAATAAGTTTTATTTGTATTTTAAATTTTATTAGATTGTATTTTCGTTTTTTTCGTTAAGAATTAATTATTTGTAATAATAAAAAATTATAAATTTTTTAAAAATTACATTTTATAAATTTCTTTTTATTTATTTTTACAAAAACAATTAATAATATATGGGAAAAAACTGATTATGTATTTTTTATTTGATTATTTTTTCAAAAAATAATAAAATACTTAAAAAATAAAAAATAAATATTAAAGATTATATTCTATATTTTTATTTATATATAAGAATAATTTAATTGTTTTTATTTATAAAAATTTTAAATTATTAATTATATATAAAATTTTTATATATAATAATAAAAATATATCTTTTTATAATTATATCTAAAAACGATTTATATTAATGTAATTCTTTTTATTTAAACTATTTTATATAAATTAAATATAAAATTTATGGTATTAAAATGAAATTGTTTTTTTTTTATAATATTATATATCTTTCATTAAATTTATATTCTTAAAATATTTTTTGTTTTAATATATATTAAAAAATTATGATTATTTATTATTTTTTCAGTTATAATAAATTTAAGATATATATAAATTAATTATATTAAAAAAATTATTATCTATTATAAAAATATATATAAAATTTACAATATAAATATAATAATATTTTTTCTTTTTTATTTTCAAAAATATACTTAAAATTAATCATAATTATAATAAATATATATATATAAATAATATATATATAATATATATATATGTATTAAATTTCTAATATTTACATTTATTATTTATTTAATTTTCATTATTAAATTAAATCAGTAATTTTTTTAATAGATCAATAAATAAGCTTATTAATCAAGAATATTCTTTTCTTTAGATTTGGAATAATTTTCATCATCAAAAAACCACCACTATTTAAATAAAAATATATATTATAATATTCATTTATAAAATATACCTAATTATTTCTTTTATTAAAAGAAATGTAATGGCCTTATTCATAATTTCCTTAATGAACGATAACACCAATTAACTCATATATAGTTTCACCTTAATTATCAATACAAAATCTATAAAAAAAAAAATTATTAATTATATATATAATATAGATAATATATATAAATAAATATAAATATATATATGTGTATAAATAAATATGTATATATAATTATATTTATATAAATATATATTTTTATATAATATATTAATATTTGTTTTTTTATTATTTTATATCAATACTATGTAATATCCAAATTAATGCTATATTTTATTTTTTTGTTTATTTTTTTTTATTAGGAAACATTTAGAATCTTTTTAAGTGCATGACTAAGTATATCGGTGATTTTCCAATGAAGTATTTTTTTATAGCTTTATATTTTTAATTACATTTTTAACACGAGTAATCGCCATTAATTTTTTCTGTTTAAAAAAACTTTTCTATACAATCATTTAAATTAGCAGAATCTTCAATTGGTAAACTTAAATCTAAAAATGGATCATATTAGCTAGATATATTATTACACCTTTAGCATTAAATAGTACAAATTAATTATCCGCAAAATAATTAATCTATAATACTTGAATTATATTTAATATAATATTCATAAGCTTAGTTTGAATTATTGAATTTTTATGGATAATTTATAGGCTAAACGCTATTCAATTCATCTTAAATTTCACTTAGTAAGTATCTTAAATATTCTTAAGCATCGTGCTATTCATAAGGATTGAAATTATCTTAAGAAAATTTGTGAAATTCTTTAAGGTTTATAGACTGTTTTTCTTATCCTTTAAACTTAATTTTTTAAAGAAGATTATAATAAGCAATACAATATTTAAGTTTCTATTTTTGATTTATTTATTTTTTGTTAATTTTATAAAATTAAATTAATATTACATTTTTTGTCTTTATTTTTTTTTCTTTGTAATTTTAATCATAAAAATATTAGTTTAATTCTCCAATAGAAAGAAGTGTTTATAAACATACATTTAAATAGCAGTAATTTTAATTATTTTTTAGACCAAGTGGCTCAAATATTAATTTTTTTAAAAGATTATTTTGCTAATAAGGATAATTTTCGATTCTATTAATTTATTCTATTGTTTCTTGACTAACTAGTATTTATGGTCCTCCTTCGTATAATTCACTTAATATTTTCCAAACAAATTAATTTACATATATATAATCGATATCTATTTATAGATTGTCTTTTATTGTTCCATCTTTTTTTAGAATACAATTATTGTTTATAGGTCCAGGAAAAAAATATTAATCTTAGTTCTACATGTATTCCATGTATTTTTTTATCCATTATTTACTTATATAAAATAATAGTTTAGTTTTTTGTCTTGAGTATTTAGAAATAAGCTCTTATTCAATTTTAAAACTAAAATTTTTAAAATATTAATATTTATTTAAAATTATAAATTTTAAATATATTTTTTTTTTTATCTATATTTTTTTTTTTTTTTTTAAAATTTAATTAACCGTTCTTCTTTAAAGTTGAATTTTATTTAATTTATATGATCCTCAATTAACTAAATAATAGAATCAATTGTTTTCTAATTTTGATTATTATAAATTTGCCTCTATTTATTTAATAAAAATAATATTTTTTATAAGGATCTGTTATATTATTTTTTATAATTTTTTTTTTATTTTTACATTGCTTTATTAGATTTTGGTAGAATTTAGAGATTCAACTTCTTAATTTTAATTCTTTTATTAGTATTATGTTGTTTGATTTATTTTATTAGATATATCTAATAGATTTTTGTTTTAATTTATTATATGCTTTTATTATAATTTGTTATTTGTGTTTTCTTAATCATAAGATTTAATTTTTTTCTATTACATTATTTTTATATACATAATTTTATAATTATACTATAATATTTATGGTTTTTTTACATTTTATTAATTTTTAGACTTTAATATATCAAAACAATTGGCTAGCCTTTATAGAAAAATCATTTTTTTATTATAAAAGTTAATAATATTAAAAAAATATATATTAATAAGTTAAAATATATATATATATATGCTAATTTTTTTTAATTTGAAAATATTTAATAAAAAAACTTTTAATTTTTTATTACTATAAATATAAATTTTTGACGTTATATATATATATATTTTTTTTTTTAATATATTTAATATATTTTATTTTTTTTCATTATTTTTTTTGTATAAATAATTTATTATTATTATTTTAGGTTTTCTATACTCTAGGAGAGTTTTGACTATTTTTTTTTCCTTAAAAATATTTAGAATCTTAATAAGATTTAGAAAATTCCTAATTTTATTTTTTCATGAACTAATCTTATTAATTAATGTCATCATTTTAAGTAGAAAAGTTATAATAATATTTATTATTATTAAATTATTATTAAGATTGATTTTATTATTTTTAAAATTATTATTCTTAAGGCACAATATCATATTTTTAATATTCTTCTTGTGAATATAAAAGATCATCTAAATCATAATTGTAAGTTTACTATACATAATGTTTCTTTAATCTTTTAGGTTACTTTAGTTATTAAATTCTTCATTTTTAATTAAATATTGTTACTATTAAATTAAATTGTTTTTTTAAATTTGATTTTGATTTGGTTCTGATCTTATATTTTAATCAGAAAGTATTTCATTTTATTATAATTTTACAGTACTTTGTATTTCTCTATTAATTACTTATTACATGTCTTATTTTTTAGCTTATTCCTATAAATCTTTTTATTATTGTAATTATTGTAATTATTGTCCTTATAATTATTATTATTAAGTTTAATGTTCTAGTTGATACTTTTTATTTATTAGCTCTAATTTTAAAGCTTATTTTTACATATTCTCTATTTACATTTGTAAGTTATTTATTATTTCGTTTTTTTCAATCAAACCCTAATTTAAATTTAAGATTTCTGTTTATTTGTCTTTTATGTAGTAAACAAATTTATCTTTTAATTATAAATACTTTGATTTTATTTTAATGTTTTAATTCAATAAATCTGTGTTAATTGAATTTGATTTTTTTAATTCAAAAGCCAGAATTTATACCTTTTAGCTGAAATCTTATATTGAAGAATCATACTGGGTATTTGAATTTTTCAAATCATTTAGAATATATTTATTATTTTATTAGTTTAGTTAAGTTTCCATCATTATTGTTTTCCTTTTTTTAATTTTAGATTATTTATAAAATAAATATTATATATTATCTTATGTATTAATATAATTTCTTTCAAAATCAATTTTTTTTTTTTTAATATGTTTATAATTTTTATATCATAAAAAAGTTTCATAAATAAAATTGTGTGATTAAAATATTAATAAAATTAATTTCTGATACATTTTTTATCTAAATTAATTAACAAAAAAAAATTGACAAATAAAATTTAAATATTTTATGAAAAAAAAAGAAATTAATTTATTTTATATTAAGATATTGTAATTAATTAAATATAAAGTATAAAAAATATTTTATTAATATATTTTATATATCTTTTTTAATTTTGAATCTTTTATTTATTAATATAAATAATAATTATATATTTCATTAAATTTATTTTATATATTAAAACGATATATTTTTTTTGTTTATTTATTAATTATAAAAAATTAATTTAAAATAATTTATCTTTTAAAAAAATATTGAGATCAGGTTAAAGTTTTCTTTAATTTTATATTAAATGATTACATTTTTTTTTTTTAAAAATTAAATTTAAATCTATATAGATATAATTAATTATTTCATATATAATAATTTAAATAATATAATATGATTTATATATTTATTAACTAATATGATTTTACTGTAAATATCTATTTAAGATATTTATAAAAAACTTATTTTATTAAAAATAAATATAATATATAACAAAAATATGAATTAAAGCAATATTGTAATATATTAAATGAACAATACAAAATATATTAATTTTTTTTAAATAGTTAAAAGAATTTTAATTTAATGCCGGTATAATAAATTTTGATAAAGAAACAAAAAAATGTAATGCAGATAAAAGAAAAGGTGTTATAAAAATGATTTGTGTAAATAAATACAAATCTAATTGATATTAGATAATAAATTAATATTTAAATTTAAAAAGAATTCAGATAATGAAAAAATATTTACATGGACTCCATAAGATTAGTAAAATCCTGAAATAGTAATAAATAAATTATTAATTATTAATTGATATAATTTATATAAAAATATAAAACAACAATATAATATAAAAGGAATAATTATTGTTTTAAGAAGATTGTATATTTGAACTTTCTAAATAAATAAAAAGAGTTGCAGTATTAAGATTTTAATCTTACGATGACAAATATTTATTTTGGATATAAGTATCTAATAAAAAAATAATATAAATATATAATAAATATATATGTTTATTTATAAATATAAAAATATATATTATAGGAAAAAGATTCTTTTTAAGATTAATATTTAATTGATAAAATCAACGAAATAATTTGTTTTGATATAGAATCATAAACAAATTTTTAAGAAGATAAATAAAATAATTATAACACTTAACAATCTTAAAAAATAGAAAATAATTATTAATAAAATAACTAATAAGTGAATAATAATGCTTTTAATATGGATAGTTAATTTATGCAACAATTTCTCTAATAATTATAAACTTAATAATAAAATAGATAATAAAGGCAAAATAGTAATAAAATTAATTAGATTTATTATTTCTCAAATATAAATATAAATTTATATTCTTATTTTTTTATAGCACCCGGATTACTTGAAGTTTTTAATAGAGAATATTTTAATGAAATTATTAATAATTCTGAATTTTATAATAGATTGATTTAGTAAATGATTTCTTACTATTTTAGATTTTTTTTTTTTTTTTAAATAAATAATATATATAGGCATTTACCTGAAGGATAATAGAATTTATAGGGTTTAAGAGAAAATTTAAGATCCCCTTAATTTTAATAAGCCGTTGAATCTTTTGAAAAAGCTTTAAATTCTGAAGAAGGGGCAGCAGTACTTATATCTTTAGGACTTGACGCAAGTGAATTTATGATAACTTATGATGGTATTATTATTATTTATAAATAGTAAATTATTAATGAATAATATTTTTTTTTTTATAAGGAAGTGCTAATTTATATAGTGCATTAATAAAATGGGTTTAATAATAATAAAAAAATTGAAATATTATAAAAAAAATTATATTAAAATTATCAAATATTATATTTATATTTTATTTAAAAAAAAAAATTATACACATATATATTAATTAATTCTTAATAGAAAAAAATACAGAAAAACAAAAAAATCTAAAATTATTTTAAAAAGTTTATTATATTTTATCTTTTTAAATATCATGTAAAATTAATATATATATATTATTTTACTTTTTGTTTGTTTCAATCTGCTTTAATTTGAGAATATATATATCTTACAAATAATAAAGATGAAACAAACCCTATAGAACCACAAAACAAGAAAATTCCAAAACTAATAATTCCCATTGTTCCAAAATACATTAAAGTAGATGATAATCTAGTAATATTTAAATAAAAAAGCCAGTAAAAAAAGCAATAACAATAAACATAAACTCCACAAAATCCAGTACAATAAAACGAGTTCCACCACCATTTATGATTTCCACTTTTAATTTATATAAATAAATTTATATATATATTAATTGATAATATATTTTTACTTATTTAATTATAAATATGTCAATAAAATTGATATTTCAGCACATGTTATTAATAACAAAAATACCACAAGTAACAAAAATCCAAACAAATAGTAAAATTAATTATTCCAAATAGAATCAACTATATATGATAATTCAAACAAAATAGATCTTTTTAATAAAAAAAAAAAAAAATTAAAAGATATTCTAAAAAAATACCCAAAAGGAAGTAAGCCTCCAATAATACATAAAAAGTTTCTACTTAAATACTTAGGCTATGGAGATATATATAAAGGTACAGGATTTACACCACAAATATGTTCAAATTTAGGTCTTTTGAAGCCAATAATAGATCCTAAGAATACTAAAGGAATCTAAATAATAAACCAAAAGAAGAATAATTAAATAATAGTAGTAAACCCGATTGTATTTAATGACTCTTCTAAAATAAGACTGAAATCAATGCCCATATATACTAAACTAACAATTCCAGGTAATAAAAATGCCGTTAAAACAGTAGATCTAAGCCAATAAACACCCTTTTTTATTTTCCATATTTATTTTTTAAAATAAATTTTACATTCATCATTTTGTAAAATCTAGCACTATAGTATCCAGCTATAAAACCAGTTATAATATAAAGAATTATAAGAACACTTAAGAAATCACTAGTTCGGTATTATTCAAAAGAATATTAAATTGAAATAAATAAAATTGTAAAAGTTAACATTATTACGATTTATATTCCTACTCCTACTAATGAAGATAATACTATAGGATTACCTGGAGGTCTAAATACGTCTGATTTGACTTGTTTCCAACCCATATCATCTTCTTAATCGTTTTTTTGGTTAATTTCTTAATATTTGGAAATGTCTTTGGAAAGTATTCTTCGAAGTATTACGTATATTATTAATGATAAGGATGAATTTATTATAAAAGAATTCACTATACTGCTCCAATGTACTTATTCTTCGTCTTGTTATTTATATAAATCCCATCTAGATGCTAATGGTTTGTTGGATTTTTTAAATTAATATGAATAAGTAAAGAAAAATTCTGTTTTTTCGTAATCATCTAAAGTTAAATATTCACTTGATTATTATTTAGAATCTTCCTTATGAAGTTTTTCACAAATTGAATATATTTTATTGTCGATATTTTAATAGCCTCGAAATTATGGGTTTACTTAAAAACCTACAATATGTTTAGTATTTTCATTATATTCTATTGTGAAGTTGAAATGGTTATATATTTTATAAAAATCTTTATCTTATAGCTTTTTTTTAATATTTTTTTAATGTATTTTTTTATTTGTATTTTTTTTTATTTTACGGCTTTTAAACCTATAGGAGTTCCTTAAATTTTTTACACATTTTCATCAAGTTCATCTTCTAAATCAGGATCTTATTTTAAAATTGTTAATGCAGGTAAATTATCAATTATACTATAATTAATTGAACAATTATATATTATTAAATATAAATATATAAATATATATATATATATATATATATATATATTTAATTATATATATATTTATATTTATATTTGTATATATATATATTTATTTTTTATACAAATCATATTTATAATTTCTATCAATAAGCCATATTATATTTTCTATTTCTTTTTAATTAAATTTTTTATTGCATAGTACTTTACATTCTTCGTTTTTTTAAAACTTTTTTATTATATATAATTTTTAGAATTATACATTTAATTTTATTTGCTTTTTTACTTTCATATCAAATTTTATTAATTCTTTTTTTTCGCCTAATAATATTTCTGCAAGTGATTCTTAGTCTTAACTTTCAGTAGAACAAAATTCTAAATCGCTAAAACTATATGAAAGTTGTGTTTCTAATGATCTTAATTCTGATACTAATACCTATAAATCTTGTCCTTCCATAAATTTCTATGTTTTTTAGTTTATATTATATTTTTATTTTTACATTTGTGGAAATTCCTGGAACTTAAAAACATATGAATATCTAAAAATAAATAAATATTAAAGTTATTAAAATAAAAAAGTTCATGTATATTTTTTAAAAATTTATAAATATTTATAAAAATATATAAGTATATATATCTATATAAATTAATTAATTTTTTTATTTTTTATTATTTTAGAATAATTATTTTTTATAAATATATAATATAAAAATAGAAAAAAAAAAAACTTTGATGAGAGCATTAATTTTGTACACGTAGCAAAATAAAAATAATATAATAAAGATAAAAAAAATATAAATAAAAAGCAATAGATAAATAAAATATTATTTTAATTTTATTATATAAATATGATAAAATATATATATATATATATAATAAATATATATTTATATTTATATTTTTCATATTTAAATACTTTTTTAATTTTTTATTAATTGCTTTTTAAATATTTGTTTTTTATATTAAAATAATTTCAATTCTATTATTTTTATATTTATTTTTTTTAAATTTTTTTATTTATTAATTATAATTTCTTTATTCTTTCTTTTTCATTTTATTTTACAAAATATTTTTTTATATCATTTTAATATTATTATTTAATTATTTTTTTACAAAATTATAAATATTAATTAAATTCATTATTTTTTTTTATTTATTTATAAAAAGAATAACTCATATATAATAAAAACTTTAAATATAAAGAATTTAAAAATTACAAAAAATAAAAAAAAAATTAATTTTCATTCATTATTTAACTTTAGGTTTTTCAAGTCCAAACAATTTTTTTTTATCAAAATAATAAATATAAGTAGATATAAAACATGTCATAAATCCTATAAAGCTTAATAATTCTTATGAATACATATAAGTACCCGTAGAGCTTCTCATAACACCAATAAGAGCACTTATACCAGCCAATCCTGTAAACTTTCCTGTCATTACTAGCCCGTAAGCCCTTCCAACTAATACTTCAGGTACAATATAAGATATTTAACTCCAGTAAGTGGTCATAAAAATTGAATAAGACAGACTCATGAGACATATAGGAATTAAAGGATGCACGTTAAATACTAAAAAATTTGCTATAGTGGATAATATTCCTGCCAAAATAGAGAATTTGGATCTATGTCCATATCTATCAAGTATATATCCCATAAAACAACCTAATGGGAGAGCTAAAAACCATAATAAAGAGGCTATAAATGCACTTTTTTGAGATTTATTAGGATCATTTTTATAGTAATTTTCCGAAAATATATTGGCAGAATTACCGAAAAAAGGGAGTATACTCCAAAGTGATAATACTGTATAGGAAAAGCAAAGCCAATATATTTTAGGTAGTTGTTTTATTTATTTAAAGAGATCAATTAAAGTCAGAGTAGGTATATCTTATTCAAATAATTAATTTTTTTTGATTTAATTTTCGATTTATCTATCTAAAATAATTAATATTATACAGCTAAGGAAGCTTAATAGGGCTATTATTATATTTAAAATCAACAATTTTTCAGTTGAATATTATTCTATTATAAAGGGAGATGTTGATATATTTATACTGTCAAATAAATTGCCTAAACCAAGTAATATGGATAAAACTACCGATAAATATCCCCCAAGGAAATATTGGCTTAGGAAATAACTTAACATAGAATATATTGAGCCTATGCATATTCCTATTATTGATCTTCCAATTATCATTAAGGTAAATGAATATTATGAATATCCTAAATAAAATAATATAGAACCTATAAATAGGCATAAAGTTAGACTAAATAATACTTTTCTACATCCTATTTTATCAGCTAAAAAACCCATTAAGAAAGGAAGAATAATATTTGGCCAAGCAAAACAACCATATAATATACTATAGTATAACTCAAAAGTATCATTATTAGTATTTAAATGATCTTTGAAACGATCACGGACTTGATCATGAATACCTATTGGAGAATCAAATAAAAATAAGCACCCATTAGAGTAAAATTACTAAATATAACTATTAAATATTTTAGTTTGTGGGTTGGTTTTGATTTATTTAAGGTGTCTAAAACAGGAATTTTTATTTGTTAATTTTGATTTATATATGTGTCAAATGTTTAGTCGGATTATGTTTCTTTTTACATTATTTATTTTTTTTATTTTAATATATTGATTTTGTTTATTTTTTTTAATCTTTTTATTTATTTTTTAAAAATTATATAAATTAATTAAAAAAATATTTTTTGTAATTATTTAAATTGTTAAATCTAATTATCTAATTTTAAGAATAAATTTTTAATTTTACAATAAAAATAAATAATTATTATTATTATTATTATTATTATTATTATTATTTATTATTAATTTTTTTTTAATTTATAATATATTTTTTACTAAATTTTTTTTTTTTTTATTCTCTTTTAATTCATATCATTTTTTTATTTTATTTTTTATAATTTTGCTAATACTTATTATATTAAAATCATTTTATGATATTTTTTACAACTCTTCTTATTCATTTTACGTTTAATTGTTTATACTAAAAATACCTTATTTTTATTTTATAATAAAAATTTATTTCATTATTTATAAATTATATTTATCATATATAACTATAAAGACTAATATAAAAATTATATAATAAACTATTTTAAGTTTCATTACATTTCATTACATATGTATTTATCACGTTTTTATTTTCATATCATAATGTACTATTAATATTAATGATATAATTTTACAAATATTGAATTAATAAAATTTTTACATTTAATTTTTTTTTTTTTTATTCCTAATATATTATTTTTAAAGATTTGAAAGTTAAAAATTTTTTCTAATTATTTTTCACTTAAAATATTTCTTTTATTTAATTTTTCTTATTATATATGCTACTTTATTATATTTAAACTATAAGACGTTATATATAAAAAATGTCAATTGAAAATTATAATTAATTATTTAATTCCGATTTTAAAAAGTATCGAAAAAATAATCACTAATATATCTAATATTTAAACTAAGTTCTTTTAACACAAACAAAAAATAAAAAAAATTATAAAAATTCTTCAAGATGTTACTTTTTTTTTAGTTGATATTGCCGAATTTATATATTTAATTTAATAAATATAAATCAGAAAATATTATTAAAATTTCAAGAGAATTTCATATTGATTTTTATTAATTTAATATATTTAATAATTTTTTTTTTTTGTTTAAAAAAAAAAATGCTATTTTATAATTTGGAATGGAATAATATTAATATATTTTTAATATTATGAATCTAGAAATTCTGTTAATATGGGATTTTCTATAATTAATACTATTATTTCAGTTAGAGATAGAGTTAATATTACCGGTTATAAAAGAGAGTAAGAATTCATAAAGTATTTTTTTATATAAATATTTATAAATTTAATATTCTAATTTTTTTATACAATTTTTAATAAAAAACAATATAAAAAGTTTTTTATACTATAAGAAATATAGTTAGATATGATATATTTTAAAAATATGTTACTTTAGTAGATAATTATGTTTATTTTTGCTATTTTTTTTAATAAATAAAAAAGAGTTGAATCCAATTAAATTAAGGTTTATTATGATATTATTATAGTTATGGTTTATATTTACTGAATATATATAATATAACTTAAACATAGTTAAACAAAGACTATCAAATCTTATTTAGTTATAAAAATTTGAATATTTTTTTGTATAAATATTTATTATGTATTTATTTTGATCTATTAAAAACGTAAAAAATGCTCTAAAATTTTTTGTTTGAAATATTTATTTTAATATATAATAAATTATTAAAGAATATCTGTTTTAATATTATTTTAATAAAAAAAAAAAATAATAAACTTAAATATTATATTTTAAAAATAAAAAAAATAAAATATTTGTATGAAATTAATTAATCTTAAAAAAAACTAAAAAAAAAAAAACTAATATAAATCGATAAAAAATAAAATATAAAGGGTTAATATTAAATAAGAGTTAAAAAAAATAAAATATCTTTAAAAAAAAAAAAAGACATTTGTATTTCCTTCCCCCATACCATCTTCTAAATATATATAAAAAAATAAAAAAATATATATATTAAATTTTTTAATTTAAAAATAAAAAAAAAATAAAAAAAAAATAATGTAAGCTTAAGTATGTATGCTGGATGGGTAGACTCGTTTCTACTCAATATAATCCAGTGATAACGTAAGCGAATTGAAGGCCTAAATTTCTTTAGAGATGGGTCTTCAAGTTGATATGTTGACATTGGTATAAAACGGATGTATTGCTCCAAACACTCAAAAAATAATAGATGATTCCACTTATTATTTGTCCTTAAAATTATTGGGTGGTAAGAAAAAGAAGAAAAAAAAATCTTACTCCAGTAAGAAAAAATCTCAACATAAACATAAAGCAACAAAATGTGGGGCTTTAAATTATTACAATGTTGACGGAAGCGGCAAAGTAACTTTAAGATAAAAAAATTGCCCTAAATGTGGACCCGGTATTTTCATGGCAAAACACTACGATAGACATTATTGTGGAAAATGTCATCTCACTCTTAAGATTGATGCTGAAACTGCCAAAAAGAACCTTGAAGAATTAAAGAAAAGATAAGAAGCTAAGAATGTTGGTGCTGTTGAAGGTGGTGATAAGGGTGGTGCTGGTAAGAAAGATGCTAAGAAGGCTAAGAAAAAAAATGAAAGAATTTTTTGTTATTTTTTATATAGAAAATTTTAAAAGAGGATGGAATTTTTAAACCCTTTTTTTTGCTCTTTTTCTTTTTTTTTTAAAAGGATTTTTTTTTTTTTTATGTTTTTTTTTTTTTTTAAAAAAAAAAATATAATGCAGATTTATAAGTATATTTGTAAAAAAGAAAAAGAGGTTTTGTTTTCATTCTCTTTTTTTTTTTTATAGGAAAAAAAATTTATTATTTAAACCTAATTTTTATTAAATTTTTTTATTTTTTTTCTCATATTAATTTATACCATATATAAATATATATTTTATTTTTATTATTATTAATATAATTAAAATAATAGTAATAAAATAACAAAATATTTTAAAAATAAAATTTTATAAATTGAAAAGAAAATGAACGAAAATAACGAACAATTTATTTATGAATAACTTTTCGAAGCAATAAAAGACGAACTTAATATTTATGGAAAAGAAGAAACTCCCAATTTAAATACTTTAAACTTAACCGATTATTAAATTAAAAAATAAAAGAGTAAGGATTTATTACATTTAAAACAATTCTATAAGAAAATCTTTCAAATGATAATCAAATAGAATATGATTATTAAAGCACCAAAGAAGATTTAAATGGATAATAATATTTGAATTTAAATGAAAATATAAATTAATACTAGAAATAGGTAAGTTTTGCAAAAAATACAGATTTTGATGAGAATGAGAATATATAATAATCATCATCATTTTATTAAGAAAACTTATTATAAAAAGATAATAATGCATCAAACAATAATTTTTCATAAAACTATTCTTATTCATCAACTGAATAAGATGATTTAAAGATAAGTGAGAATATAAAAATCATAAAATAAGACGCTAATAAATTAATGGATTAATATAAACAATTATTAAAGCAATAATCATAATAAGAAGAAGAAGAAGAGTAATAAAAGAAATAAAAAGAGAGAAAAAAACGTGAAAAATTATATAAAATATGCATAGAAATGGTTAAATAAAGATAGGAATAAAGGGAATTTCTTTTAAAACAAAAACTTGAAAAAGAAGAAAAAGAAGCTTTAAAAGATTGTACTTTTAAACCAAAAATAAATGAAAAAAAAAAACCTTTAACAAATAGAACTAGTAAAAATTTTTATGAAAACTAATAAAAATGGTTAAAATAAAAGTCTTAAAAAATAAGCTTACATTAAAATATGTAATAATTAAAAAATATGTAAGAAAATACTTTTAGACCGAAAATAAATCATTCTTTTTAATTTAATGATACTTCCTATTATAATAAAAATGAGAAAATCGAAGATAGATTACTTAAAGATCATGAAAGATTACAAAAAAAAAAACTTTAATTATAAAATTTATTTTAACCACTTTTTAAGCCTATTATATTATAAAAATCTTAGATTTTAGCTAAAAAAAGAAGGGAATAAGATAGTGTATATCATTAAGAAATGCTTTATAAATCAACTTTTGAAGATTATAAAAAAAATTAATGAAAAAAAAAAAAAAAAATTATGTTATTTATTTATTTTTTACATATATATATAAAACAAAAAAATTAAAATAAAAAAAAATTCTAAATATATTTATATATATAATAAAAATAAAATATTTATATATATATATATTTATTAATATTTTTTATTAAAAAATAAATAAAAAAAATTAAAATAAATTTCTTAAAAAAAATAAAAATGTTAACAAATTAAAAGGATGCTTTCAAAATATATTTGACAAACATATTTGTATAATATATAAAAAATTCTATATATACTATAATACTTACTAAATGTGCACTTTAATACAATACAAATAACGATAACAAATACTTTTTTTTATTTCTTTAAAGCGGATCAATAATATATATCATATTAAACATTATATCTTTACTATATATTAATTCTAAACGTTAATTTGCTCGCTTAGAATTCTATATAACATATGGATTCAATATTTTTTTTTTTTTTACAAGCATAATATATACATTAATAGAACTATCGAAATCGAATACTGAGAAAATAATGGAAATATTTATTAAAATATTCTTATATATATAATTAAAAAAGGAATTAGAAATATTAATATTGGTATTTTTCTAAAAAGAAACATTATTAAGATAAATAAATATATGCTCGAATACAGTTTTTGCATTTATATTATTAATTTCGGAAGATTTTAGCAAATGTGGAAACTTATATTCGGGAGTTATATATACTATAATATTTACGAATTTGATATGTTTAGTTTTTTTCAGTTTTTTAAATATGATGACGTTTTTATGTAAAATGGATTTCTTTGAAAAATATAAAAGTCTATAATTTGCCAATAGTATTGTTTTAGGAATATTTTTTATTTCCTATTTAATGGTTTTTTATTTTTCTTCTACTTATAATAATTAAATTAACTCTTGCCTTACTATTATTTTAGTTATGGATGCTTATATTTATATTATTCCTATTAGTGTAATTGTTATGTTATTTACTTAATTTTAAATTCAGAAAGAAGATGATTAGGATAAAGATATTAAAAATACTATTAAATTTAATAATAAAACTATTTCTTAAGATTAAATTATTGCGGTTGAAAATCATAAAGATTTAGATGTTCTTTATAAAAGTGGATAATTAGACTAATAAAATCTTATTTTGGAAGAAAGCAATACATATAAATAGTAATAATAATAAATGTATTATTTTTCAGGGTTTTCTAGTATAATTAATAAAAAATATGGATAAGTAAGTAAATGAATTTGAAAGACTTAAAAAAAACTTTGAAATAAAATTTTTTATCAAAACATTTTTTTTTATTATTTAAATATTTTTTTTTTTTTTATAATAAAAAATATGATATGTATTAAATAATTATTAATTTATTTTAATCTTTTTTAAAAAAGAAACATTAAAATTTTTAAATTTTTTTGTATTTTATGGCTTCAAACAATTATAATGAATAAATTAAAAGAATTTAAGCCTTAATAAGAGGATTTATTATTAGAAAACAAATTAATTAATGCGCAATAAATTAATTTTTAGAAATAGCAAAAGAGATTGAAGGAAATACAGAAAAATATGTTTTTAAATAATATAAAATGATAAATTAAAATTTAAAATAAGAAGAGGAGAAAAAAAAAATATAAAAAAGAATGGAATCATTATATAATAAAATATAAATTATAGATTAATAAATTGAAGAAAGAAAAAATTATTTAATTAAAATAAATTAGTTATAATGAATAAAAAAAAACACATTATAAAAATATTTTACATGTATTAGCGAAATAAAAATTTATATATTATTGATAAATAATTTATAAAAAATTATGTACCATGTGTATAATAATTTAATATATAATCGTATATATATTAAATTTAATTAAATTTTAAAATAAAAGCTTAAAAATATAAAGAACATAAAAATATTAGGATTAAAAAGATAATTTTATTAGTAATAAAAAAATATTTATTTTTAAAATAAATAATATATATATATATATATTATAATATATTTAAATATTTATATTAATATATATATATATATATATATATATTATTTAATTTTTTTTAATTTTAATAATTTTTTAATAACAAAAAAAAATATATTTAGCTTAAATATTTAGAATTATTTGAAAAAAAATATCATGTATAATATTATTCATAATATTTTATTATATTTTTTTTTTATAAATAAAAATTATTAAATTAATCATTTTATAAATCTATATATATATAAATAGTATTTGTTTATTTTTATATATTTTTTTTATTTTTTAACTATTAAATATAATACATTAGATATATATTAAAAAAAAAAATTTTTTTTTTAATAAAATTTTATTTCCTTTAATTTAAAATTGTATATTTATAAATTTAAATAGTTTTTTATTTATATATAATATAATATATAATTAATTTTTTTTTTTATATATTTTTTAAAAGTTTTATATAAATTTATCAATTCTAATTATATATATAAAATTTATTTATATTATATATACATATATTAAATTAAAATAATTAATTAATAAATTTTTAGTAATCTTTAAATTTAATCATATAGATTTTTGAATACTTTTAATTAAATTTTTCAAAATATTAAATTTACTTATTATTTATACAAAAAAAGACTTTTTTTATATAATTTAAATATATAAAATGTAATAATTTTAATCAGAATCGGATAATAAAAATAACAATTAAAGTTTTACATATAGTATTTAAAATTTAAATATAAATGGTTCTTAATTTTATAATGAAATCAACACTTCTCCTTAAAATACCAGTTAAAGTTATTTTAATAATAAAGTTGATTTAAATAAGAGTAACTCCGGAAAAAATTAATAATAGATATTTAATATAAATTTAAATGAATAACTTTAATTACCAAAATATCAATTAGAAACCTCATCAGTAGTCTATACTTAAAATGATTATGAATTACCTTCGAATTCAGTAAATGAAATAAAAAAAGATATAATGTATTAATACGATAGGACAAATAATTAAAATTAAAGAAATAAATAATTTATAGACATGAATTTACCTGATGAATAATCAACTTCTGATATATAAGATAACTTTTATATAGAAAAAATAATTAAAAAGGAAAATAATGTGGGATTTATTAGGAAAATCAGTAATGTAGGAATAAAATAAAAAGTAGAAATGCTTTATGAAACATTAGATCAAAAAGCAGTTTTGAAAAATGAAAAGAATAAACTTTTTGAATATGATATAAATTATTAGTTAGATATTTATAGTTCTAGTTTAGGAAAATAAATTGAATTAATCAAATGGAATGATATAAACTAAAAATTGGAGTTTAAATAAGAGGCTATTGATGTATTTTTTAATAATTTTATATTTTTGTAAATAAGCAAAAAAAAAATAAAATAAAAAAAAATGGTTATATTTATAAATTTTATATATATATATTTTTTTTAAATAAATAGCTTTTTAGAAAAAGTAATAATAATTATAAAATTTCGTTTGTTTCTATTATTGGTGATAAGTTTTCTGGAAAATCTTTTCTTTTGAATAATATATTAAATTTATAAGAAAATGATTCAAAAGTATTATAAATAAGCTTTTTTAGTTATTACATATTTAATTTTAAAAGTTTAAGTCTAGTTTTGAATAATTAGAAATAAGTATTTGGTCAGAACCAATTTATGATAATAATGAAAATACAGAAATATATTTTTTAGGTTTTTTTTTTTTTTTTAATTAAATAGAAAATATTAAATTTAATAAAGAATGTTAATTAAATGAAAACATAAATACAAAAAAATAAAAATAATAATTATTTTATTTAATATGTTTAATATCTAATGTTCTTTTAGTAAATATAAAATCAGATTATCTTTCTTAGAAATGTTTTATTTAATTAAATAGTTTATTAGAAATTTAAAAATATATAACATTAGAAAATGTAGAGAAAAAAGAAGAAATTAAATATATAATGCCAAAGCTTTTTCTAATAATGAGAGATTTTGCCCATTTAATAAATATAGACGGATAATTATTAAATGGAAAATAATATTTAGAATAGTTTTTATTTGATGAAATATAATTCCATAAAGCAAATAATTCCCAAAAGAAATTAATGAGAAGGATTCTTAAATATTTTATTTAAAAAAGATCTTTTCGTAATGTCTCATCCAAATAACGATAAAACATAAAATACGATATAGAAAAATAATATATATGAAGATTTCAAACTGGAAGTAATATCTTTAAGAAAAAAAATAATATAAAAAGCTTTACCTGCATTTTAATTTAGAGGAGTATTTGTAAAAAAAACTATGATAATTGATTATTTAAATATATTAGTAGAAGATATAAATTAAGGCGTTAAATTTGATTTAGAAAAGACTTTTTTTACTTTATTAGAAAATGAATATATTAGAACTCATAATATTTGTGTGCAAAAATATAAGAAAGAAATGTAAAATATATATAAAGGAAATAAGAATTTTATTTATTAATAAGATCTATAAAAAATATTATGTTCGGCTAAAAATATTGCTTTTTATAATTTTTTTTCTTTGAGAAAATTTAATGTCGAAATTGCTTAAAATCTCTTTAATTTTTACCATATTTAAATCAAGAATTTCATTTAAGATATGGAAAAGTAAGTTTTTTAAATTCTTTAAGATGAATGTGAAAATTATATAGGATATATTATTAAAGAAAGTCTAAATTATTAAAACATTATTACTATTTAAAATATATAAGATGAATTTGGGAATATTATTTAGTAAGTATTTTATATGTGTATTTAAAAAGATGCGAATTGTATTTAAAACTATAGTCTTTTTATTATTTAAATTTGGAATTATATTATTGAATTTATTAGTAAAAGTATTTAGGCTAAATAAGAAATATTCAATAAAAATATGAAAGATATTAAGCATTAATATTTTTTAGCTTGTAAAAGTAATTAATAATTAAATGAAGAATAAAGGAACTTAA